AGCATTAGGAACATCCGCGGACTAGAGCCAGGTGGTGGCGTGAGAGAGAACGGGCTTAGGATATGCACCACTTGAAGGGTCTGGAGAAAGCGCATCCACGAGCCACACGGAGGGGACAGTCACGTCACCACTCGGGGTGGAGCCGGCGCCCCAACCTCAGGGTCTCCGGAGGGGCAGGCCACAGCGGGCTCCAGCCCGTTCCTCTGGCCCTGGCCGTGAGGGCGCCCCCTGCGGGCATTTCCCTGAACTGCTCCAGGAGGAAGCGGAGTATTCCAGCTTTTCCTCCTTTAAGGATATTTACAGCATCACGCCTTAAGAAGAGTGTACTCACTGAACTGTGACTCCCGCCTAACCCGACCGGAAAACACGGGGCAGAAAGAAACCTTCTGTCTGAGGCCCAAGCCCAAGCCAGTGGAAAGAACCTGGCCAGGGCCCGCCGACGGGCCAGCTGCACGCGCCTCCGGGCTTTCCCCGAACCCCGCCCTGGCCGGTCATGCTCGGCCTCCGCACGGCCCTTGCCCTCACTCCTGGTTACCTGAGAAGTAGCCTCACGGCAGAGGGTGTTGCTCCGGATGTGCCGTGTCCAGTGTAGCTTGTTCCAGACCGTCCCCCATCGTGCCACCCCCTCCAACTCGCCCACCCATCCTCCTCCTCCTCCTCCACCTCCTCCTCCTCCCAGCTTGGCCTCGGTCAGGACGACACCCGTTAATCCGTGAAAGACACATCTGCTGTTTCTTAAACTCGCTGTCTAAAAAGGAGAAAAACACACTAAAAGGGAGGGAGGGAGGAGGGAGGGAGACTCCTCTGTGAGGAGTGTGTGTGCTGATGTAACAGTCTTCAAAGGTTCCTCTCCGAAGAGTTTGCAGCATTAAGTTTCCTAAGACTCCCAGGAGATGGGCTTCTTTGTGTCACAGGTGCTGAGACGACGAACAAAGAGAAGGCGGGAGAAACGAACCCCGAGGACCGGGGGTGGCCGAGGCTCCGAGGCTCGGCGCTGGGCTCCGCACTCACAGCTCAACACCTTGGCGCGGCCGGCGCAGCCGCTGTTGGCGATACAGTAGAGCAATGTGCTGGTCAACTGATCCGATCCCAAAAATAACATTAATAATAATAATTATAATAATTATAATAATAAAAAGTCAAGGTAAAATAGCAGCTGCATTTTATGTGTTTGTTGGTGGTGTGGGACTTCCGGAACAAAACACGCCTTTCCTTTCCTCTTCAGATCCATCGAGTCTGGAGAGCCTCTCGGGTCCTGGGCTTAGATGCTCGACTCCTTCGGGGGCAGGTCCACGTTGGTGACGGAGGTCACCAGGGAGACCAGACAGTCCGAGGTAGTGCCATTGACCGACCTCCGGATCAGGGACACCCGCTCCTCCACGCAGCCCGCGGACAGCCGAGCCTCCGCGTCGTGGTCCCAGCACTCCTCGATGGTCACACAGAGCTGGGCCAGGCCCTGCACCGCGGTGGGGGAGAGGGAAACAGCCCTGTCAGTGCCCCGCGGGGAGGACACGCCTGGGGGACAGCCAGCTCGGTGATGTTGCCCAGGGTCAGGCAGAGCCCACGGGCATCCCAACCCCAGCAGCTGCCCATCAGCAGGAGGCACCCTCCTGAGCCCACGGCCTCCCGCACAGGAAGGTCCCCTGAACCTCAATGTAGGAAGTGGGGGAACCAGGACCCTCCTGGGGCAGACACAGTGACGTTCAGACAAAATCTTACGGGAAGCGCAAGTCATGCAAGGGCCCAAAAAGCGGAGGTCACAGTGGAGACCAGAGGGCACGGTCCCACCCCACGCCCCGCAGCCCCTGGGGCCGCTCCCCAGAGTTCGAGGACGTGGTGGTATGACACCCTGTGCAGGACTCAAGTGCGCGGAGCTGGGAAAGGCAGACTATGGACAGAATGCCCACACCCGGGAGCTCTCTGGCCTGCTTGGCCACACCGCGACCTCGCTGGACCTTGGACTCCTCGCCAAGGACCGGGACCGGCTACCCCAGCACCTCTGCCTTGGGAGACTGAGAAAGTCCGAGGTAGAGGCAGGCTCCGGCCCGGCCTCCCCCTTCCCCACTTGCAGCCCTGGGTTCCAGGGAGCAGCGTGGCAGCTGAACGTGGCCTCGGCAGCTTGACCCCTGATGGTGTGGGTGGTAGAGTGCTAGCCCCAGTGATCCCAAGCCTGTCCTTTTTCTGAATTAACCCTGGAGTGGGCAGGGGATGGGGCTCAATGGAGCTGAAGGCAAGTATCCTGCCAAGAGAGGAGATGGTTTACACAGCTGGAGTCTTTGTGCCCAGAGTGGAGAAGCCCAGATGCCACGCAGCTCAGCCCATGCCCAGAAAATGATGACGGCAGAAAACAGAATATTTAACCAGAGCAAACCCATATTCAATGCTTATACAATGCAGGTGTTCTGCCAAGAGATTTCTAATGATAACTCATTAAATCTATTACTACCCTGAGGAGACGGAGGCTCAGAGAAATAAAGCAATTGGCCCGAAGTCACCCAGCCACTCCTGGGCAAATCCAGGACTCAGACCCAGCTGGGCAGGCTCAGGGCCAGCAGGCTCCACGGCACAGCTGACCCACACGGGGCAACCTGGGTTCTGCCCCAGCAAACCAGAGCCGCCTCCCTGCAGAGCACGGAACCTAATGCTCCCTGGTGGAGGGGAAAGGCACTGAATGGCCTCTGGCCCTGGCGGAGGAGAGGGGCTGTCTTGCTGCCTGAGGCACCCTCTCTCTGCCCCATGCCCCCTTGATCTCAGGTTCCTGCCACCCAGGCCCTCACCGGATGCTTCAGCCAGTGATCCTTAATGGCGGGCCGCATCTTCTTGTGCACGACCACCTCCTGCAGCTCCTCCAGCGAGGGGTGCTGGCCGATCTCTTCCTCAAAGGGCAGCATGTACTCGTCCACCGGTTCTGGGGGTGAGAACGAGCCGGCGGGTCACCCCAGCCCCGCGCTCTCCACCCACCCACCCACAGGATGCAGGGGCTGCGCACTCAACGTCAGACGCCTTGCAGCGGGAGACGAGCTCCC